TTGGATGTGTGAGAGGCTAAAATGACCCCAGATCGATCATAAGGTAACGTGTATCCAACGCTGAAAAGCATTTGACTACCTCAATCCATTGAGAAGTTGCAGCATTTTGAAATCAACTATGATGGAAAAAATCAACGCAAAATAGTGTTTTTTTTGCAATTTTGAGATGTCCCCTCGTTGCCATGGTAACAGGAAATTTAAGCCTGAGCATGTTGTTGCAAAGGCAATGGTCCAGTCAACACTTGTGCCAAGTTTGATTAGTATTGAAGCAGTTTTTATAGTTTTATAGCAATTTGAACTTGTAACGGGAGACTTTTCAATGAAAACAGCCATTTTTCACAAAATGCTCATGAAGTAATGGGTTAATAAAATTGAACATTTCATGATCAAAAGAAGCGGTCTATTTAGTTATAACCTTTTTATTCTCAACATTTAATATATAAAAGAGAGAGAGATTAGATAATTGTAAGATCTATAATTGTCAACAACTGTTCTTGTGTTCTGTTCAGCTCTACTTAATAACTACAGTTTTTTATTTACGTGTTGTGCCAACTATTTCATAAACACTGCATTTTTTATTCAAAGCACTGGCGTCAGAGCTTCAAGTTGCAGTTAGTTTATTATTATTATTTTTATTATTATTATTATTATTATTATTATTATTATTATTATTATTATTATCATTTTGGTGATATAAATATATACTTTATGTTCGAGTTTGTTGAAACAAAACAATAAAATCATCAAAAACTACACTTCCGCTCTTAGTCTAATAATTAAATTTATAGAAAGAGACTAAGAACGAAAGTGTAGTTTTTGATGTTAATTTATAGAAAGAGGCTAAGAGCGAAAGTGTAGTTTTTGATGATTTTATTGTTTTGTATCAACAAACTGGAGCACATATATTTATATCACCAAAAATAATATTTAACTGACAGCAACTTGAAGCTCTGATGCTAGTGAATCAAAGCACTGAAAGTGCTGTATGCAGTAAGCCGGGTAGAATTTTGAATCATATAGGTACATGTTGAGTTAATAAAAGCTGATCAATGTAAGTATCTAGGAAGTTTGTTTTTAGAAATTCATTAGTAAATGTAGATAGAACAGGGTATTTTCAATATGTTTATACATATTACATGAAAATGTGCTGTTTGCCTGGCATTGCTAACTGGGAGATAAATAATATATAATTAACAAAATGTTCCAAATTTTAAGGTTTTTTATTGGAAAATGTCTATTAAAATTCTCTATAAAAATAGAAAAATATATTATGCAAAAATGAAAATGAAATGAACAAGTGATTAGCAAACATGAACAAGATTTAACTGGTGTTAGAATGATGGCAAAATGAATGTATAAAATATGACAGAACAGAAAAACATGCATAAATATATGCAAAACCCTTATTGGACTTATACCAGAACTTCTTCAGGTTTAACCCAACCTCTTGTAATGATGATATGCCTAGTGTGTTTAGTATTTGGCTGGAAAAATATGTTACAAAAGAAATAAGATGATCATCATAAATAGTTGTTAATGTTTAAAAGTTGAATGAGAAACTGTTATAATTTTTTTAGATATGATGCAGATTTGAGATAACTTTGTACAAACTATATTAATTAATTAATTAATGTGCATACTGTAGCCCCAGTCACATTAGAGTTTACGACCAGTTAAGACCAGTTCACGATCACCAGTGACCACTGGTCGCGGACAATCTTTAAAACGTCTTACTACGGTCTTCGGTGATCTTCGATAGCCGCAGGTTATCTTAATTAGGTCCCACGACCAATTTCAGTCGTAGAGAGGTTTTTGAGCTTGCACAAAAACCTTCTGCGATCAAACAGGTTGCTAGTGATCTTTATAAGGTCTTAGGCTGTCGCACGATCGACGCTCGAAAGTGAGACAATCTTGCGACAGTCTTTACAAATTGCCACTAGTCACTGATAATCTTGAGTAGTCTTTAGCAATTGTGTGATGGTCGTACGACAAGTTGTAGGTGATCGCATGACAGGACACGGGTAGTCGTAAGTAATCCCAGGCAATCTTGAGACCATCGTACGTTTGCTGATGACCTGTCGTGCAATTGTCAACGATTGGTCGTACTATTATCGCAGAAGTAAATATGCTCGTCGGTTTTACACGTCGCCGGAAGTCGCAAGTAATCGTAACCTCTAGTGTGACTGGGGTTTAACAGTGCCTATATTTTTATACACAATGAAATGATGCATTTCTAATCCTAAGGTTACATCAGACTGCATACATATAATTGCATCTAATTACATGCCAACATTGAAATAAGATGTACCTTCTCCTATATTAAAATTTAAAATTAAGAAAAAAGGCCCTTTTATATTAGAGCCTAGTTCTATATCCCCCTTTTTCTCTACCAAAAGGCGGGGGACAATAAAACAGAGTGAATAAACTGTAAATGATACCCATGAGTAACCGGCTCTGATTTATGACATGACTTTCAGTTATTTTTTGAATATTGCCGCCCATTTTAGCACGTGCGCGGTGACAATAAATTAAAATGTTCAGTTTTCACCAATGATTTACTAATAATAAAAAGGTAACCATGGTTTTTAGTTATAGAAGTATGTTCAGACAAATTAGGTAATGTTTCTGTACCTTTGCAAAATGTATCTAAATACGGTGTCCAGGGTTTAACATATCATTTTTCCGTGTTCCTCCGATATTTTATCATTCTGGGCTCATCACCGTATCGTTTTAGACAAAACAAACATTGAAAAGAGCATGTTTGATGGAAAACGATTTGAAAGCCACGCCTTTGAAGTAAGTTTATTTAAATTCAAAGTGTGTCCACGGAATATTATGCTCATTGAAGGCTATGTTTTAAACTAGTTTTTATCAAGTTTTTTTTCCAATGAAAATAGCTTGAGCAGTCTTTTTGGAATATTTTCAAAATAAAATTTTTCTGTTATCAATTAAAACAATTATTTAATATTACTCTGAGCATAAAAGATATGTATGCACAGAATATTGCACTCAAATATAAGCTGTTTAATTCTTTAAAAAAATCATAAAAGCATGAAAACCTTGTTCTTCGTACCGACTTAAAATTGTGGCAACGTATACTTGTGTATACGTCAGACGTGTACCTTATCATAATGATTATTAACTTATTTGCATTTAATTATCGTTGCACATCTGAACGAGGCCAATAACCATTAAAACACGGAGGAAAATGCAAATACGAAAGATGCCTCAAATAACATGTGTACACATTCCCCACTCATATAACATGTGTACACATTCCCCACTCAAATAACATGTGAACACATTCCCCACTCAAATAACATGTGTACTCATTTCCCACTCAAATAACATGTGAACACATTCCCCACTCAAATAACATGTGTACACATTTCCCACTCAAATAACATGTGTACACATTCCCCACTCAAATAACATGTGTACACATTTCCCACTCAACTAACATGTGTACACATTTCCCAAACTAGTTTTTCTGTGATTTCATACGCTTCCCGACTGAACAAAATGATTTTTCCACCAATTATTATATACCGAATATACCGTGAATATACGATATTTCTGCGAAAGAAACATTACATCTATTTTCTTACCTCCCGTTCAGAACTCGTGCTTTTTAGTCAGCAATTGTTATTATTGTTGACGGGAACTTGTGTACGATTCCCATCTTTTTATATGGCCGAAAAGATTTCGGGCATATTATGTCATAATTTGGCATCCGTCCGTCCGTAAGCAATTCGGTTTCAAGAGCGTAACTTAAGTTCCATTTGGCCCACAATATTCAAACTTCATTGGATGATTGTCCATATTGGGTAGAAGACCCCTATTGATTTTGGGGTCACAGAGTCAAAGTCACTATTACCTTAAAACTGAAAACAGTTTCCGGAGCATAACTTAAGTTCTATTTGGCCCACAATATTCAAACTTCATAGGATGATTGTCCATATTGGGTAAAATATCCCTGTTGATTTTGGGGTCACAACGTCAAAGGTCAAGGTCAAAGTCACTATTACCTTAAAACTGAAAAAAAGTTTCCGGAGCGTAACTTAAGTTCTATTTGGTCCACAATATTCAAACTTCATAGGATGATTGTCCATATTGGGTAGAATATCCCTGTTGATTTTGGGGTCACAACGTCAAAGGTCAAGGTCAAAGTCACTATTACCTTAAAACTGAAGAAAGTTTCCGGAGCATAACTTAAATTCTATTTGGTCCACAATATTCAAACTTCATAGGATGATTGTCCATATTGGGTAGTCTAGAAGACCCCTATTGATTTTGGGGTCATAAGGTCAAAGTCACTATTACATTAAAACTGAAAACAGTTTCCGCTCAACAACTTAAGTATTAATAAACCTACAGCTGTAACATTTTATAGGATGAACAGCCAAGTCTAATACATAACCCCTATTGATTTTGGGGTCACAAGGTCAATGTTACCTTAAAACTGAAAAGAAAGGAGTGCATTTTGAAGGAGGTAATACTTTATATTAAATTCCCATGTCGTACAAATGCTTTATCCTTTCTAAAAATCACACTTTCGAGCATATATTGCTCCGCCAAATGCTGCTCTTGTTTAGATATCTACGTCACTAAAGCGTAAGAAATAGCTCTCTGGTCACTGGTTTAAAAAGGTCTATGAGTACTAGTGTTCCGATGTAATTTTCGAAGATTAAATAGCCAATGTATTTGTTTTGAAACAATATAGAATTGGTTTTTCTAAGGAAAAATGGAGTCTTGATGTCGCTTTAATACGCTTAATATCTGATGGACTTGTCTTTCAATGTGCACAAAAGTAACATTTTTGGGGAAATTTTCAAAATATGAACTGACTAAAATAGGTTGACAATGCAGACCCTGATCAGACGCCCGAGATGTGCCAAATGATCTTGCTCTGCACTGGTGTAATCGATCACCGCCAAAGGGTCAATTTAAACAGTATAAAAATATTACGGTTACAGAACAATAAATGATATCAGAAAAACTACACGTCTCCAAGTCTACTTTATTCAACTTTAAGGTATATACAAAATATACCGGAAGATATTAAGACCAATGAGAAACAATTTCACAAAATCGTGAACATACTTGTATATGGTTAACGAAAACCTTCATTTAAAAATCATTCATTATGTTATTCACTTCAATAAATTAAAACATAGGTTTTCTTGAAAGCAAACTACTCAATACTGGAGCATTGTGGGAAAGGCGGCTGTTATGCTCCTTTTGATCATTTATTTCCACATTCCACATTTTCTGCGATATCTTTGGTGCAATTGGTACAAACGACTTAGTTGTTGGGCCATTACCCAAATGCTGACTCCCGTCTTTCGATAATATTGCATTTGGAATAAAAATATCAGAAGGCATGTTTTTATGTTTTCTTACATGGCTGTGATTTTTGCTCCCTGTTAAAGCCTTCTTATTGTTTTGTTTTTCTTTCCTCTTGCCATTTTTTCTCTCCGAGTGCTCATCCACAACCACTGTATCTAATTCCTTGTGTGTCTCTTCCAATCGGTTAGTTTTATCAGAAGATTCTTCAGACAATTTTGCATCATTATTAGAGTATGCAACACCATGTCTCAATAAATCAATATTTTGAGAATCAAACCCACTGACGTGTGGTTCAACACTTTCAATAAGAATGTCTTCCATATTAACATGTTTTATCTTTTTCGGCTTCCCAATCACAGTATTTCTAGAAAAATCTATATTTTCGTTGTCTGATTTATCAGACTTGTTCTGTTCAACAAACTCGCCAACATTCCTTTCATTTGCAGAGGTCTTTCCATGTTTTTCAGTTCCAATAGTCTGGTCTGCTTCTACTGCCTGTATTAAATCAACCAGTTGGGCATTGTCAATTTCATCTAGACCATCCATTGACTGTATGAAAAATATGCCTTTCTCCTTGTCAAGAAATATATTAGGTGAAGCCAAATTTGAAAGTGTTAACCCGCTTGTGTGACTTGATGTTTCACTAAACACCGAATTTCCACTCGATTTTCTGGATCTGTCACCATGCTCAGAGTTACCACTATACTGCCGATGTCTGCTTTTATTAATTTTTGTAACAAAATGAAAGTCAGTTAAGGTTTCAGGTCTCAGGTTTGCATGGCCATGTTCCTGGTGAGATTCTAATTTGCTTGTGTCCGAAAAATGAACCACTGATCTTTTAGACTTATCTGATGAATCACTAGAGTTTCTAGACTTTCTAGAATTTCCACTGCAATTTCTAGATTTTGAAGGGTTTGATTCTGTTATGTTATGCTTATCAACAGCAATAACTTTTGCTCTTTGTTCAATACAATCTTGCGGCAAATTTTCTCTTTGAAGACTTTTGATGTGTTCTGGTACTCCATCATGTGAAACATTGTTAACCTGGGTCATATTTTCCTTACTTGAAAAAGTTGAAATACTTGCTGGCATTGGCATATCCACATCTTTACTTGAAGACATTGGTATCAGTGGCAGAGTAACCACATTACCATGGGGAAGAATTATTTGTTGTGTAAAACTTGGTTGATCATTTTCTGTTGAACACGTTTGGAAACTTATTTGAATTTGGGATGGAATCTGCTCAGATCCAACTCCACTTGAACTTGATGATGGAAAAAAACTGACAGGTACAATAAGCTGTGTTTGATTTGCCAGTTCAAGAGCTGGACCAGATTGATTAGAAACACTATCAGGAATCATTGTTGAACTGTTCTCTGACATTGACTGATCTATCAATAAATCCTTTTCATTTAAATTATGAACATTTGATCTGTGGGTGGCGTTTTCAGATTGCTTTTTTGTTTCATGGTCACGAGTATCATTACTAATTTTACATTCAGAAATTTGATCAATATTTGACGCAGGTTTGTCTATAAATTCAAAACCACCATTTTGTATGGAAACTGAAGGTTTAGGCATATGTCTACTTGTTACTTTCTCTGCTATAAATTGTCTTGATTTCTCTGGACTTTCTGGCACAAGATGAAAATAAATATTTGGGTTTATATTTTCACTTTGGTCCACTGAGGCCAGTGAAGTAGACACAAATACTTCAGGTTTGTCTGAAGTCTGTGTCTGCTGAACATTGATTGCTTTTTGTCCAATGCTTTGTTCAATGACTGAACTTGGAATATTAAGTAATTGAACCCCTTGATCACTCACTATTTGGTACTGTCTCAATGCTGGTGACTGAATCGGGTTTAGTAAAGAATTGATATCATTTACAACAGAATTATTTGTTTTTCCTCTAGCACTCTGACTTGTCCCAAAGCTGTTTATGCCAGTATCATGTTGGTCTATTGTTTGGACTGTTTCATTTTGTGAAAAAGACGTTTGTACAGATCTAGTTTGGTTGTTATTTTCACCTGGTATCTGTGTAACAGGATTAGAACTGGGAATCACTTGCCCTTCATGTCCTTGTTTAAATACTGGTATAACAGGAAGAACTTGATGATCCCCAGTAAGCAAATAATTAGTCTGGTTAACATTTATTGGAAAATTTAGCTGGGACTGGTTCCATTGCCTTTCCATATTAGACTGATGTACCCCATACTGGGGAGGGGGGTGTAACAGCACGTGTTGCATGTGACCTTGACCAGAGTAATGATGACCTTGGCCGGTTACAATTTGTCGATGAGTATCAATGACAGTTGGATTTAAGCCAAACACATTTGATAAAGGGTTATTCTGTAACTGCTCCATTGCTAAACTGTTTGTGGATTTTACTAATTGGCTATGACTGATATCATCTGCCTTCCTGTGCAACTGTTCTTGAGTCATATTCTGTAATGAAAAGTGTTACACCTTTTTAAAAACTAATCATATATAACCATAGCTGCCACAGAAGTGACAAATACACCCACCAGATCTCTATGACACTGTTGACACAGGACATTAATCAATTTATTTTATTTTATTTATGTAGTATAATTTATCATTATTTTTGAAAACTTTTGAAGTTTTAAAAAGTCGTTTGGAAAGTATACAGTTTTAAGTGCAGACACAAAATAATGCAATTTTGACCTTCAAGGGTAACCTTGACCTTGTACAGTGGCAGCACATGTTTTGCACATTGTCTTGTAAAGTTGAGCCAACTTTGAACAAAATGCATAAAGGGATAAAAGAATTTCAGAGTGAAACCAAAATTGTCTAATACTTGACCTTCAAGGGTAACCTTAACTTTGAGTCTGCACAACAGCAGCATGGGTTCTGCATATCACCTTCTTGAGGTAAACATTTCATCCAAGTTTAATGAAAATCTTTCAACTGGTATAGGATATAAATAGCAACATAAACTGTCAGACATCGACTGCATGGCTTCTGCACTTAGCTTTGTAAAAGTGAAAGTAAACATTTTAGCCAAGTTTGAAAAACATCTTTCAAGGGATAGAAGATTTAGAGAGAAGACACAAAATTGTCTGACATTTGACCTTCAAGGGAGACATTGAGCTTACACAGAGATGGCATGGATTCTGCACTTTGCCCTTATGAGGTGAACATTGGAGCTAAGTGTGAAGAAAATCATTCAAAGGGTATAGGATTAATATGAAGGACACAAAATTTTCTGATATTTGACCTTTGACCTTCAAAGGTGACTTTGACCTTGAGATGACATTGTTTTGCATGGGTTCTGCATACTGCCTTGTTGAGGTGAACATTTTGAGCCAAGTTTGAATAAAAATCCTTAAAGTGAGATAGATTTATGGAATGGAAACATTATGTGGTTGGTAACCAGACTAAAGAAAGTGTATTATTTCTGTAAACGATGTTAACACCATTTGTTACCACATCAATATTTTTGTGTTGGAACATAAATCTTTATCACACAATTCCTCCAAAAAAATGACATGTGAGTCAGCTAACTAGCAAATATTTGGAATACCTTGAATGTTATTTCTACCCAGATGCACTCTTGTGCATTCAATCATGCATATAAAGACTTTTTTACCCAATCTCAAACAGTAAACCAAGCCTCAATATGACCTTCATATAAATAAAGTTTAGTTAAATCCAAAAAGCAAACTACCTGTTGAACAAGGTTGTTTTTCTTTCTTGAAATGAGATCCTGGAGGTGTGAGGCAATTTGTTGTTGTTGTAACTGTTTCTTAGCAATGTCTTGAATCCAGGCCAATTTGTGTTGTCTAACTGCATTTAAAGTCTGAAACAGTCAATTATATATGCATTGTCAGCATTCCTGTTCAATAATGTGACTGGACAACTCATTAAACTGCTGAATTTTTGTAATAGATTTGCCCTATTTTAAGTTTGGAATAATGTATCTGAACTTTGACAGATTTCAATATCAAATACAAAAATTGATATACAAACAGTACACAGCCTGCTCTGATTACAGGGATTTGCAGACAGGCATTGTGCCATACTAATTACAAAAGGTTATCATTTTCAGTTCCAGCCGATATTGTTAGTTCCAAGAAGCATTATTTGTAAAGATATTACCGAATTTACATCTCATGTTAATAAAGGGAGGTAATTAGAAATTTATTTTCTATAAAGTCTAAGTCAAATTTTCAATAAGAAATGAATGCATATATTTAAATGATTACATATAATGTGGACAAATATTTGCAGTACATATTTTACATATTCTTTGATGTTTGAAAATTGTTTTAGAAGCATAATTATATACATATATAAAATTTCACTTAAGTGTGGTAACAACCTTAATTACAACATACAGGATCTTTCATGAAATTTAAAGCTAAACATACTTCAACACTGATGCCTGCATTCGGACTGGTCTGGCTATTCTGTGATGCCACTTCCTGTGAAAGACCCTCATTAGCTATCGCACTTGAACTTGTCTCTTTGTTTCCTGGTATAAAAATGGACAACTTCATTTCATAATAATTATTGGAAATAATTATTATAATAACTTATTAGTGAATCATAGAATTATCAAACTTGTTCTTTTTATTACAGTGATCAACATTTTAATAAATAAATCTTTAACTTAATTCTCGTAGAAAGATTTACCCCATCAAACTGAGTCTGCATTTTGTAGTTATACATGACATTCAGCACAGGTAAGATTTGACACAAGTTTCATTAAAAATTTTTGAAATGGGAAAAAGGAGACATGGAGGCAACACAAGATATGACAGACAAAGATCATTTATACAACACTTCTCCTGCTTCATGACTGAGCATGACAACAAGCACAGGGGTTAGAGTCTGTTTAAGCCTGAAATTACCATACTGACTTCTTGCCAAATTTCCGTCCCATTTAGAGGAGACTAGTTGTTCCAATATGAGCAATATTTTTATTGTTTTTTTTGGGCCAGAAAAAAAGGAAGAAGGGACCTGATGAAACACAATAAATCTTAAACAATATGTTTAATATTTATTAAGATTACTCTCTCATGATGAACTTCATCAACAGCTATAACATGCAAGAGCGATTTTGCAAACCACTGACTTATTCCTGTATACAATTCTCTTGTAAGATGATGGAACAATTAGACATACCATATGATGTTTTTGTAACATGTTTATAATGTTCCTGCCACACCCTCTTCATGCCATGTTCCGGAGGGTCTCTTAGTCCGCCTGTATCAATCATCTGATTATAGACCCTAGCTATTGTTGTCTGGGAACAGCCTGTTACCATGGAAATGAAGTTGTAACAATTGATATGTGTTGCTCCTGAAATAAGAAAAGTAGGACTGGTCATAACATGTGACATTTTGTGACATTCTTTTATAAGAGTATGCACACAAACAAAGACAAGCTTTCAATTTTACATTATATATATACATGCAAATAACAATAAATAGTATCAAGGTGAGCATACCATGGCAGTCTGGAAACTTTCCTACTTACTCTGCTCTGAAAGTTAGATTTATTATGTATATTATCTTGCAAAAGGCATATGGCATATATAACCAAAGAATAAGAAATAAATTCACAAAATTTTGATAAAAAGGGGAATATATCAATCAATAAAAAAATGGATAAAATAAACTTTGCTTGTGTTTTGATTCAACATATTGACATACCAAATTTAATACATGAACAATCATTGAAATCCTTCTAAAATAATCCTGGAGAAACTAAGGCAAACAACAATTCAGACAGAAAATTAGTACGTCAAGGGACATAATTCTTTCAATAATAAATTGATTGCAAAACTTGACCTCTGCATGATTATGATTATCTTACAGAAAACAATAACTTCGCATAAAGGGGCGATCCAGCATTATCAAATAATATCAGCCATTCCTTGAGAATCAACTTCTTCCATAAACTTGAAGCATAATTTTATGAAGACTTACATGTTTAACAACAGTCTGTTGTTTGATTGGCATATTCTATCATTTTGGTACATCGACATACAACAGTTACTGTACAATGTGCTGGAGCCCCAAATGAGCATACAACAAAAAATTTTCTATTTCTAGAACAAACCCAATACAATAATTAAGATACTTGCACATTGTAACCAGCAGTGAACAAAGTTCAGTTTTACTTTCATTGTCTTTATATAAGAAGATGTAACATTGCTGTTAATACTGACCTGCTGGGGTTAACATTTCCGCCATTACTCTACGAGCCTCTTGCTGACCTTGTAAAGCTCGGTCCCTCCAATCTTGTAACAATCTTTTGTGAGTTAATGCAAGCTGAAATTTCAAAATTAATACTCAAGAGAATATATCCACTTTCAAATGTGTATAAAAATATATTTTTATGATACAGACAAAAAAATAAAACTGCCATCTCATCTTTATCATAAACAAAGTTGAGCACACTTAGGTTTATTGATAATATTTAAAATATTTTTTGTAAAACTTAAATGTTTAATGTTGTTAATGTGCTCTGGCAATTCTTTTTAATCCATGTTATGAAATTATAACATATTATTGTTTTTAAGGCATAACAAAATGACAAAATAGATATAAACTGATTGGCGTGTTTTTAAAAGCTCTGAACTGTAAATCATAAGGATTTTAAAATGAAAATGTTAAAATATCCATCAGATAATACATTGAAAACTAGTCAAATAGTTCAAATGTGCTGTATGGCTCGACTGCATTACAGGCACAGGAAAAATTAATATTGCTACAGATTTATCTCCCATTGCAAAATTATGAAATTCAACAGTAAGCAAGAGTTTTGTCCCTTAGAACTAATCTTAAAAATAAGACCCTGTTACATATATAATGTGTTAAAATTTTACCATGACACAATTATCAGTACAGCAGTGTTGATCCATCATCGTATGTAGATCAGGTAGCTGACCTAGTGCAGCTTTCCCTCTTGTTCTCTCTACTCTACAAGGTCTCTGTAACCATATGTTAATTAACAGGTTAATAAATGAAAGAATGGGTGAAAACTGAATGTTTGCTGGCCATAAACTACATTATGGCGTTGTTTGTTTTTAAAGGAATATAATGCCTCAGAAATCCATATTTCTTTTGTAATTCTTTAAAAATGTCAATGTTTCAGTACTAAATTCAAATCATGTTACATATTTAAAGACTGAAAAAAGTAGCGCTGAGCGTGCGTGCAGTTATGTGCTGTTAAGGTAGCAAAATGTAAACTATGTACTATTTTGACTTCAATACAAAATACTAATTCATTGTAATCATACCAATTACCAAAAGAACTAAAGATGCAAAAGACAGTTCAGGTATATAGCAAATGAGTGTGTTTCTGGCAACTGTAACAAGATACAAAAAAATGTTTTTAACAAATGAAATTGAGAGCATTCCTGAGGCAAAATGCCATACAGTGACTTCCCCGCTGTACAAAAAGGGGGAGACCTCAGGTGCCCCTTTGTGCATTATTTCAGCATGAGGGGCCATCTGAGTAGAACAACCAACCTTTCTTATGCTAGCTGGATACCTTTGTCACATGAAAGAATCCAAAGTCTTTAACAGGATTCAAACCCTTACTTGGTAGAAGAAAGTGATTTGAAGTTGGCAACCTTAACCACTCAGCCATGGAGACCCAGCATGTTAAGCTCAATTTTTGGAGGTAAGGTTAGGTTCTGAATCATAAGTTCATAATGCCACTTGTTTGATGGAAGGAGATAATCAATGCCATTCTATTCATTGTTTCAGACACAAATGGGTACCTCACCTATATAGGGATAGCCACTAACATTTGATATGCCGACATAAAATATCTTGCCATATTCTTCAAAGAGTCAAAGCTAAAAATTGTAAAATCTTACATTTTCAGTCTTCAATCTTTTATGTAGGAAGTTGTTTGAGTACATCAATATTTTCTGTGTGGCTCTCTCACAAAGTCTCATGTCATCTTTCAATACACGTCTTTTTGTCAACACAAATTCTTCATAACGTTTAGATTTCTTGTGACCGTTTCCCAGACCAATAAGCCTGCAAGAAAGTATACATGTATACAGAAATAAAACATTGCAACACTATATTGACCTTAATACAGAAATTAGGAACACAAGGTACACAGTCATTAAAGAAAATTTGCAGAATAAGCCTGCATAAATAAGTACTTATAAGGTCTATTCAACAAAATTTCCAAATGGCAACTTTATAAAATTCATTTCAAGCAGAACAGAAGTGTGTTTTGTATTGACTTTTACTTTTATTATTACACCATCACTTAATACCATATAACTACAAGGAAAGGGGGCATGCCTGGCTGAGTGGTTAAAGTCATTGAATTCAAACCACTTCCTTTCACCGCTGTGGGTTTAAATCCGGACAGGGATTTTGAATTTTTTCTAAGAAGAAGCTATCCAGCTAGCTTTAGAAATGCTGGTGGTTCTACTAACGTGCCTGTTTGTGCTAAAAAATGAAAACACAGAAGGCCACCTGAGGGTTTCATCCAGAAGTGAAAGCTGGAAAGTCGCCATATGACCTATACTGTGTTAGTGTCATGTAAAACCCAACCAAAAACCAAAATAAATTCTAAAAAATATCAGGGAAAAACACTATAAAATATTTTACTTGACTTTCTTGTTACTGTCTGTGACAGGGTATGATTTCTCCTTCCTTAGTTCTATTGCGTCATTCATCAGTGAGATGAATACTGGTACATGACTGTTTCCTGTAAAACATACCTTTTCTGTAAAATTTGGTAAAATATTCAACATGTATAACAATTTACTGTACAATCACATGCATCATTTTTGTTTGATCTAAAGAGCATTGTGTAATGGATTTGACCTGCTTTGAACTTGGAACATTACATTAAAAGGTTAAGGGATTTTAATATCACAATACAAAAACTGAGCCACCAACAGTATAGAGCCTTGTCAAACTTTATGGATGTGCAGGCTGGCCTGGCTCACTCTTTAGATTCAATCAGCTGGCTCACTCTTTAGCTTCAATCAGCTGGCTCACTCTTTAGCTTCAATCAGCTGGCTCACTTTTTAGCTTCAATCACTTTAATGGTTAATTAATTCACTCTGATATTCTGGTAAAATTTCTGGTGCTAGGAAATGTTGAGTATACCTGTTGACTGTATATATTTCTGTAAACATCCACACAACTTCTTCTGACTGAGAGGGCAAAATAACTTCTCCACTACAAAAATTAAAGAAATATTCACTTTTCAAATTTGTTTGTCAAAATATATTCTAAAATGATATATCCCAGAATTGTATCTTCAGTTCTTACAGGTACATTACTTAACACAGACTTTTTCCTAATAAGATTGCGTAAGAATATTTAAACTTATAAACACACTCTTGCACCAGTTCCTGGAAATGACCAGTACAATACAATGAATGTAAAGTTTCTTGCTCAAGAAAACAATGGCTTTCCCCTGATGTGGTTTGAACCCACAATGGTGGTGATCCTATGTTAACTAGTCTGACTCATCAACCACTCAGCCATGCTTTATTGGAACTTTGTTACATGATTTTAAAACAGTATAAGAATGTTTGCGCCGAAAAGCAGGTACAAGAAGTAAAGCTTTATCTATTACTTCTACATGTAATTCATTTTCTCATTATTTAAGATAGACAATGAATACCCTATAAAATACTGAAAGACAAAAAAAGCTCTGTAAACATAATTAAGTATAAGTTCAGTCTAGCTAGTGTTCATTTTTGCACTAAATTTTTAAGCCAATTTCTTGTAAATCCAAGAAAAATACTAATTTATTTGCATGTGTCTGAGTGTCTCTTCTAAACTAGTTTTTTGAATCTTCAACAAAAACTACCTGTCTAACAGCATTTCATTCTCACTCAGTTCTCGATTGTTAAACCTGAGTCTAGATATAAAACAAGAGTTTTCTATGATCACAAAGGGGAAATAGTGAAATTAAAATCCATGCAAATATTATCAGCTTTAAACAGTGAATTACAATCATAATCCTGGAGACAAATGTGAAATTTGAGAAATAAAAATATATATCCGCAGTAGTTCATGAGATATGAAGTGGCATGATCTACCAAGTGTTATACTGGAGTCAACACAGACACTGCATCAATGCTACATTGAGCAGGATGGCCCTTTTCATTTTATATTCAAAGTGGAAAAGTAAAAGCTTTTGAGCAAGTATGGCCTTTTATAAAAGACTGTACTACCTAATGGATCATCAAAAGATGCTTTTAAGGTTTTGACAAAATGCTCAACTTCTGTCAGATACTCTTTCTTTTCATCTTCAGAAGGCACTGTAGCTGTTTTGATAACTCTTCGCTGAGGACGGTCAAAGATCTGAACTGAAATAATAGATAAGTCATGTCAAAGACAATTATATGCATGTATATAGTGTTATACTGGTACCTACACATACTTGAGTAAACTATTGAGTGACATCAAAATGTCCCAAAACACTAATAAGAATTAAATAAAAAGAAAACTGTCAAATTATATTACACTTATGAACACCAGCTGCTGTTATATTTTCACTTGCTAGTCATGAAAATATCTATTTTTTAATCTGTGAAATACATGTATATTTCAATCTTACATGCAAAACAAACAAATATACTCTATATCTTCATGACTTTCATTACTTAATTAATGTACATAACTGTTCTTTAAATCGGGCCTTGTATTGCCAGTAAAAACTTCAAATTAAATTTGTATGACCAAAAGTGATTGACAGCTATCATTAATAAAGCGTTATTTATTGAGTAAAAAGATCTGACATTACTGTATACTAATTACAATACATATTTTATCTACATACCACATGCATTACATAATGTCATTTCTCTCCCAGTGTTCCTGTCCGTCCGTATCTGTGGTAGAGGTGTATGCCTGGACCGTCCTGTCTTCTTTACACCTTTTGATATTGGATTGACCACATATGGGGACTTACAGAGATGGCAAGAAAAAGGTTCTCCTACAATTTGAAAGGATATTATTTCAAGAGAAATCATTTATATGAGCCATATCATGAGAAAACCAACATAGTGCGTTTGCGAGCAGCATGAACAGCCTGCGCATCCGCGCAGTCTGATCAGGATACATGCTGTCCGCTGTCAGTTTCTCTACTTGTAATAGGGTTAGTAAGGGAACAGCATGGATCCTGATCAGACTGCGCGGATGGGCAGGCTGGTCTGGATCTATGCTGGTCGCAAACCCATTATGTTGGTTTTGTCGTGACACGGCTCTTATACAGTCTATAGTTATATATAAGTCATTTAAATCAGACAACTGTGTTAGGGAGTTGATTTTTGGTTCAGTGCTACAGATTACTGTATTAATTTGTGTTCTCAAAAACGCTACAGGTCAAAAGTTCAAATCTAACACAAGTCTGATACATGATAAAATCATGAATTTGTGTGTTAAAAATTCAAAATTAATATTCTTTTGTGATAAACACAAGTTAAAAAGAATTTTAATCTTAATGCTATAGGGCTGCGATACATTACCAGTGTTCTTTAATTCTATATACCGGTAATTTTCAACAAGTTCTCAACTTATTTAAAGATCAATTTGCATAGTTGTCTTGAGTAATATGGCCTGTTACCACAAGTGGCTCAAAACAAATTTGCTTAACAAAATAAAAAAATTACCATCTGGAAGAATATCATAAGGTCTGTTGGAGTGTAACTTTGATTTATTTTGGGTTTTCTGTCCATCATGTTTGTTCTTTTTTCCTTCTTTCTTTCCTTCAGGAGAGTAGGATTCTTTTCTTTTTCTCTTTCTTTCACTGCGCCGGCTTGTTCCTTCTCCTAATGTTTCCATTATCCTAAAAATAGATTACAATAAATTGACATTTCATCATTATCTGTTAGATAAAAACAGTCACCTGATAAACAAAAAAAAAAAATTTCGCAATATTCTCAAAATTTAAATTGTTCAGTTACAGTCAAATTTATTTAAACAGGCAGGACTAACAAAAAATTTTGATTAGTTTTCCCCTACCCTAATCTAACCAAACAAGACTTTTCCCCCAATTTACTTCAGTTAATTCTTGTTTTTTCGTAAGAAATGTTAAAAAATTGTTTTTATAAATAGTAAAAGGGGAATTTCATAAAAAATTTTTTGTTTTTTCAAAACTTCGCTAATGGGGAAAAAAGGAACCGATCGGGATAATTTTAGAAGTATTTCACATACAGTATTCTAGGTTTGGGGTTCAGTTACTTTTTTTAACCCCTTGAAATCATTCAATGAAAAACCTTTACTGCAATACATGTAACTCAAGTTTAATTTAGCATTCTTTTAACTCTGAAAATCCAGGAGGAATTTCAATAAAGGGGGGAGTATGTCACAGTTCATAACTGTTCACTATTTAGGGGAGAAGTTGTGTAAGCAGCCAGATAGCTCAGTCAGTAGAGCCATGGTACAGTATTACAAAGGTTCTGAGTTCGAGTCCTGGTCAGGGTGCACATTTTTCTCACCCTGTGATATGTAAAGGACTAGAAAATAGCTATAGTGTGATGCTGAAAACAAAGTTAGATGCTGCAGAGAATTAACATTTTATCAACTTATTATAAACACTTCCATTATTTCCGAAATTTTCAATAAAACAAGAAGACTTAATATCTGATTCTTGCGCATGACACATTGTCAATTGACATGTCAAACACGTACATTTATGCACGGTGAGTTATTTTAAAATCCATCCAGGAATGACAGACTTGTGAACCGGACACAACAATTATTGCAAGTTAATTAAAGATTTCCTTTATAGTAGATTATGACCTTTCCCTGGTTACTGTGACATGTATGCATAACTATTTCAATATTCATTCATAAAATGACCAAGTTATCAGGACCAAACACAAAGTTTGGATGGACAGTCGGAAGGACATAAGCTGTAAAAACTAATGTCCCTCCACTAAAAAAAAGGAGGGGGATATAATCCATTTTCTTATTACATGTGATTATTACATGTGGATGTTTTGACTAAAGTAAATAGAAAGATTCAAGACAAAAACATTGTAGGCTACATCTTAGAGCAGTGAACTTTAATACTCAACCCATATTGACAAGTCATTCTTTCATTGATTTTTGCATATATAACGAATTAAGTACCTAAAATACCAGGAAAAATGGCATCCACGATTTCTTAAAACAGCATGAAACTGATTATGAAGATGTTACAACCATGGCAAGTAGAAAATATTTATGTGCCTTTTGCACAAAATATTTCATGTCATCATACACGATTATTTCATTTAAAGAACGTGATAACTGCATTTAAACATTGAAAACAAAACCTAAGCATATATGCATTAGAATGTATTGAATTTAGAGTATAAGGTTTAATATTTACACATCTCTTTATTCTCCTAACTTGCGCTTTATTTTTAATGTCAAGGCCGACGATCTTTATTTTTAAGGGAGGCTACTCTCCATTTTTTACAGTACTGTAGAGTGATTTCCCTTTGTAAACAAGGAAACGAGGAAGTTAAAAATGGAAAAATGAGTAATTTTTTGTAACTGTTATATCAAGATCAAAAGGATGACATGCTCTGAGGAAGACGTCATGACTAGTTTAAAAGCTAGTGTAAGATATTTTGTTAATAAGAAACTTCAAACATTCTTTGATTGTACTTTTTTATGTCAAAAAATGAACCAGAGACATCGATCTGTCTATATATCTCTCTGTGAGGTATTCATTGAACTATGGTGTTAAGCTGTGTGTTAACATATGCCCAAATTTAGTTTATGATTGATACAGATATAGGCCTATTAAGAAGTAACATCATCTTTAATGTAAAAATACTTCAAAATGTACATGTACCACACAAAAAAAAAAAAAAAAAGAAGTAAGTTTATTGTAAATTTTGAACATCTATCACCCTACATCTTGATCCTTATATGAGAAGTAAATCTTAATGTCATGTTATTAAGTGTATCGAAAGATCTAATTATTGCCACATTAACTGTATTGTCAGAATGATTTAATGGAGATATGTGATACATAATATTAAAGGGACTCCACTGAGGTTTTTTGACATGATGGGACTAAAAATATTTTTTCCAGATAAATGTACAACATTTGATGAAGGTTTAGACCACTAATCTATGTGCAAAATTTCAGATCATTCGCCCACTTCGTTTTACCAGAATAATTATTCAAATTGTAAAAAAGTGACCCAAAATGAAAAGCGTTTAAACGCTTTTCACTCAAATCGGGCTAAGGAAAGCATAAAAATACGATTTTCAATTTATTTCAAAGTATATTTCTTAACTATCTTTGCATATATTTCTGTTTAAAGTGCCCCAGCTCATTTATGTTAGAAATTCAAATGTTATGTTTTTAGGCTTTTAAACCTCAGTGGAGTCCCTTTAAAAGGAAATCAAAGACAAAGACTTATTTAAAACATTTAAATAATTTCCCTTTTTAAAATTTGTCAAGAGACAGAAACTACATTTAGTTTTAATTTTTCAGGTACTACATGAAAGCCGACCTCTTCTTTGTAAAAACTTGGATCCCAAACTCCACTACCCTTACCTGCGGTCAAAGTAAGAGAAAGTTTCTATGTTTGGATGTAACATTGAATAGATAGAAATTACTCACAATTTTAAAACCACATACATGTATATGTATAATCATATAGCATTTACCAATATTTTTTTTATAACTTTTTAATTCAGATGATAAATTAATATATAATTTAATATATAAGTGATGGGTTTCTTTTTATTAAAAAGATTCACAATTAAACACTAAAAAAATGGAACTGGTTGGGAGAAATTTTCACATTTTTGGGGAAATAAAAAGTTTTTAGATTAATTTTGGAATCTTCAACTGCTTTTTTCGATGCCTAAATTCAGCCTCTGTTGGATGTACAAAAACATCATTTAAAAACTTTTTTCCTTTATCATTTTTCTTTCATGCATATCTGACTATAATCAATGTTGACTGAAGGATAAATGAAAAATTTTTAAACTGCCAAATTATATAAAATGTAATTACAAAATTTATTATACGGGTTTAATTTTGGGAAGGAATTAAAATTTAAGGGAAAAGGTTGTGTGACGTCTCTTTTTAACAAAAAATTTTTTATTTTTAAACCTACTAAGCCACACACAAAAATTATGGGCTTTTAAAAATTTTTAAAATTACGGGTTAAAAATAAAAAAGGTGTAAAAATTAAATTAAAAAATAAAAATTTTTTGTCCTAAAAATTTATCCCAATCATCATTTTTTAAAAAACCTTTGTGGTGTCATAATATTTTTTTGATGAAAAAATTTTTTTCCTAAACCCTTTGGTGAAATCAAAAATGTATAAAATTGTAGCAAAAAAAAAACCAAATTTTCCCAAATTATTTTTAAAATATGTATTTTTTTTATGTTATAGGTATGTTTTAAGTGAAGATGATGAGGAGTTGATTGAAGTTGAACAGTTGAGAAAAAGAAAAGTTCACAAAATGATTGATATTCTGGTATATTGTATACATATGTATTTTAATGGTATTTTGGCTCACCTGAGCACAAAGTGTTTGTAGGCGAGCTTTTGTGGTAGCATGATGTTTGTTGGCTGTCGTTCATCAACTGTTTGTTGTTATCCACAGCTTTTATTAAACCAAATCCACCCAAACTATTTTGTAATATAGGACCAAACTTCATTGGAATGATCCTTAGTTGACCCTCTTCAAAGTTATAACTCATGCACAAGTAGGTCACAGGAGTTAAAAATAGACTCTAAAGTGAAATCTTAAAAATCTTTTCCTCAATTACTACAGTGCCCCGGGCTAAGATATTTTAAATGTATACATTGTGCTAAATACCTTGTGGTACTCTTTAAAAGCATAAAATAATGTGCCACGCCATGACAAAACCAACATAATGGGTTTGCGACCAGCATGGATCCAGACCAGCCTGCGCATTGTTGAAGTCAATGATCAGGTTCTGCACTGGTCTGCTATTCAGTCAGTAAATATTTTGAACATTTCTCTAACAATGATGAATGATGACCCCACTGGGGTTAAAATTGGACCTTTGTTGGGGGATCAGGTCACATTCATTCCTCTTTGTGAAACTACAATTCTTAGAGCTAAGATATTTGGCATGTGGTATTGCCTAGTGGAACTCTACAAAAGATATATAAATCTTTCCCTAAATACGGGTCAAAATTAGTCTGACCATGGGTCACTTACATAGTACATAGAAAAATAACAGTAAAAAATCTTCTAATCAGGTATTACAATGTGCTAAGATGCATGGTATATTGTCTTTCCTAGTAGACATTTATCAAAGTTTAATCATGCGGGGGTCAAAAATGGCATGCCCAAAATAAGTTAATGTGACCTCTGCATTGAAGACAAGCGTTGAATCTCAGGTGAGCAATCTAGACCTGCCATTGCCCTCTTTTGTATACATGTTATGATGTCTTCATAAATACCCTAAAACCTAAAAATTGTTTCATGTTTTTCATGTAAAACTTAATGACTCAGGAATATTAAGTATCATTCTGTACACTGATTATCTTCAATATAGAGTCATACAGTCCTTTACACCAATGCTGTCTGGTATTATGTTATTATTTATCAAGATTTTTGACAGGTTATATGGCTTTATATAAATGTTTGTTAAGAAATATAACCCAAGTTACTAGAACCATTTATATATGGTCATATAACTTGTCAGGATTATTTATAACAAAAATTTTTAAAACAGCCCCAAAAAATTTTTTAAATTTTAGAGAAAAAAAGGGGAAAATTTTATCGCTAAATTGATAAACACCGTTTTAATAAACCCATATTTTTAAACCCTTTTCTAACTATGTAAAAATATACAAAGTAAATTTTAAATGTCAAAATTATCCAAAAGCAAAAATTTGGCGTTTACAAAAAGTTTATTATTAAATTTAAATTTAAAATGTAACGATTGAACAAAAAAAAAGGCAGCCCCAAACCCAAAAAGAAAATTTTTAAAAATTTAAATTACTGTTTTATTTTTTTTGTGTTAAACAGAGTTGGTTTTCATGAAAGAAAACCCCCTTTTGACTGAAGGGTTTTCCTTTTTTAAAAATTAAAGCCTCAGAAATTGGGGGTTACCGTTTTAAACCCTGGGATAAAACTAAATAAGGCCGATTAAAAAGGGAAAACCCCTTTTTACTGAGGGTTTCCTGTTAAGCGTTGAAGCAAAACAGAAATGCCCGTCATGTTTTTTTCCTGGGTGATCTAAGAGGCCCAAATTAATGGTTTTGGGAAAAACAGGAGTCTAGGATTCTTTAACTTCCCGCAAAGGGAAAAAGGTTTTTATCCCGGGTGTTTTAACTGTTTTCTAAATTTTGGGAAAAACCCGAGGTTAAAACCAAAAAACATCTTTCCTTTTTTCTGCGCCCATAGGAACCCCGAATTTTTGTTTTGTGCTATGCCCAAAAAACAAACAAAAACCCAAAACAGCAAAAGGAAAAATTTAATTTTCCCAAAACCAGTTTTTAAATGGCCCTTTTCCCCAAATTTTCATTTTTATGTATTTCTTTCCAGTTCTGCAGATTATGGTGATTTTTTTTCTCCAAAATATCTAAATATTCTTAAACCTGATTTTAGTTAATAATTAAAAGTAAATTTAGATAATTTTTAAACATATAAATTAAAAGTTAAACAATCTAATTTCAGATGAAGAAAGGCAGGAAAGGGTTTGATGAGCTGGTAATTTCTATAATACAAGAGAGAACACAACTATTCTTGGCTGAAAGCCTTAACAAAGCCTTTGAAGAGAAAAGGAAAAGATTGATAGGTAGTTGCACAATCAAAGATAGTTATACTGCAGTCTGTCCCATCATAAATTGAAATGAACTCCTGTCTTGTATACAATAACAAAACACTATTTAAACAAATAGAAAAAACTATTAATGAGAAACATGTATGGAGGAAATATTAAAAAATAAGTACATGTATATCAGACATCAATATATTAATTTTGAAAATATCATCAATAGAGTTGTGTAAATATCATTGTTCTTTTAAAGCTGACTTGGAATCAAACATGGTTTTCTTTAACTTTAGCTTTTCTCTTTTGTTTTTGTGTGTCTTATACATACTATATATTTTCAAGGACTTGTATAATGATTTGATACCAAAATATCTGTTGTCAAAAAAAATCTTTTTTTTTTTTATTTTTCAGCCCTTACAGCACAAAACAATGATGACTTGATGACATCAGTTGGTTCTGTAGGGCATGTTCCTGCCAATGAGAAGAAAATAGAAGACTTCAGCTTAAACGGCACAAACCTTGGCAGCTTGCCAAAATTTTCTGTTTTAAATTCAGATAAAAACTACAAAAACTCCACCCTATCACTAGGCACTTTGGGAAATTCATTCTCAGAATTAGACGTAGACACTGATAGCTTGCCAAAACCCACAATGCCAAAAAGAAATGAAGATGATCTGAAAATGTACAGAAAAAAGAGTTGTGAAAATTCCTTTGATGAAGACCTGGATGAGGTAAAGTCCCTTCCAGACAGCACAACATCGGAAAATGAGTCAAAGGCTTAGTTCTTCTACAAATCTATGACTGTTGGGGGAAGGGAATACAGGAGATATTTTATCAGAGTAGATTTTTATGCTGCCACCACATGTTTTAGCTTTTTTTATGATACTTTAAATTCATTTTATAATTCCCTATTATTTTTACAGTTAATATACACACAAAATTTTAACAATCTATACAATCTACCTAAAACTAAATTTTGTTATTAAAGTCTGTGCTAAAACATATACAAACAAGGCACACCTATAACAAAGTCATTAATCATACTTTTTAGAAAATATTTTTGTACATTTCTAGCAACATCTTGTACGTGTAGTTTTGTAATTTCCATCAGGGTATAACCTTTTTACTGTTTCTGTATACATGAATACACATGCACATGTATGTTAAGTTTTTACATACTTTAAATTACTGCTAAAACAATGCATAACATCGCTATTTGCAGAATCATAAACTTTATACTGTTTCCATATTCTGTATAATTATACAATTTAATCTTAGAATAGAATTATTTTGTATTAAATAGTAAGTATTAAATAGTAGGTATTAAATAGTATGTATTAAATAGTATAGTATGTATTAAATAGTATGACAGTAATTGTATTAAATAGTATGTATCAAATAGTATGCACTAATTGTCAATTAGAAGATCAATCTGAGGCTGTGACAGGGTAGAAATCTACTTATATCTATATATTGATACAAACTGAGGCTGTGACAGGGTAGAAATCTACTTATATCTATATATTGATACAATCTGGCATTCCATGCAAAATTTACAAGTAGTAATGTATATATCTATTTTTAGATGACCTTTTCCATACAATAAGGTTCTTCATTAAGTTTGCATGTTACAAATCCAATTTAAATTTATTTGTTTATGTATAGAACATGTTTAGTCATTTTTCTTAGGCTTTACAATAAGAGATAATTATACTACTGTGAAATCAGATTTTTTTGTGGGGCTTTAATTTTGCTACATCAAAATTTTTCTTGCAAAAACTAGAAAAAAACATTATAAGAAATTATTGCACAGATCTAACTTTGTAGTAATAATTCAATTATATTTTCATTTGCGTTTTGTTTCCTTGAAATATATTTTAAAAAAGTTCCCAGTTTTAAATGAGATATATACATGTATACATGTATTTCAGATTTTCCAAAAAATATGAAAGAAATATCCTATATCAAAGATTTAACATTCAGAAAAAATATAGACAATATAAGTAAGCGCATGTTTGTTGTATGATATTTAATTTGAAGTTCAATTTCCTACATTTAGTATGATTTGACAGCTGTCTATAATGATACATGGATAATTGGTTGTGACAAGTGTAGAGCTTAGTATGTGATACTGGTGGCTGCTTGATTTTATTTATTTATTTTTCTGTGATTTAACCTGGTACATAATTATATTCTTGCATATCAGTCAGGATAATCTACCATTTACTCCGGTGCTAGAAACACCTGTCTTATACCGCCATGTAAGACAAGTCGCATGCTATAAATGATGTCATTGCTGCCTGCCATTAATGAATGAATTGCGGTCTTAGGATGACGTCATTTTACCATTATAAATGATTTAAGTTCATACGCTACTATAAGAAAAAAGTGCATAATGAGAATATCAGTTTTCATAATTTTTGTTCTGAAAATAATTGACATGTAATATGCAAGAAAAAGAATCAAACATCGGTTGTTGGTACAGACCGGAATATCTAGCTCTCAGGTAACTGTTTAGCAGAAACTCGGCAGAGCCTCGTTTCCGCTGTAAACAGTTACCCTCGAGCTAGATATTCCGGTCTGTACCGCCAGCCAGTGTAAGATTCTTGTAATATAACAGTGTAAGCAACTGAAGATTGTGCCATGTTATCGTTTCATCCAATCGGATGTAAACACCGCTATTTTTTAATATTGATTGGAAGTTGTTGGAACTTAAAGTATAAATAAGATTTTAGCAGTGCTTTTATATTTTATTGGTCTGAACATAAAATTTATCAATATTAATGTACATGTACATTGTAGTTTTTAATAAAATTGGCATTAATAGATTATTTTAAATATAGCTTATCAATTGATTGGCTGTCAAATGGGCGTGAACATAAGAGAGCTCATCTTGTTGGTAGTTGCTTGTCCTATTATATTGTGTCCTAGATTTAATGTGAGCCGCGTCACGACAAAACCACGCAGTCTGATCAGGATCCATGCTGTTCGCTTACAGACGCTTAACAAGTAAAGAAACTGATAGCGAACAGCATGGATCCTGATCAGACTGCGCGAAGGCGCAGGCTGGTCTGGATCCATGCTGGTCGCAAACCCATTATGTTGGTTTTGTCGTGACGCGGCTCATGTAATATAACATTATGAACAGTTCTAGAAAGAAAGACTTGTCTCCTATGTATGCATTAACCCTTTCCCCCTTGAGCATATTGTGAAAAATGGCCATTTTCACTGAAAAGCCTCCTCTTACAAGTTCAAACCGCTATGAAACTATGAAAAATGCTTCAATACTAATCAAACTTGGCACAAATGTTGACTGGACCATTGCCTTTGTAACGACATGCTCAGTCTTAAATTTCCTGTTACCATGGCAACGAGGGGACATCTCAAAATTGCCAAAAATCACTTTTTTGCCTCGATTTTTTCCATCAAAATTTATTCCAAAGTGCTGCAACTTCTCAAGGGATTGAGATAGAGTGAAAGGCTTTTCAGCGTTTGGTTACACGTTACCTTATGATCTACCTGGGGTCATTTTAAGCCTCTCACAAGTCCAAAATTTTCTTGGCGATGAGGGGGACTCCGCCCCCCCCCCCCCCCCTTCAAATCCCCCCAAACAGCAACATTTCTCAAACGAAAACATGTGTTTGGGGCCCAAATAGAACATTATTTCACTATTTCAGGCCTAAGAAAGGGGGCGGGGGTCAAAAGTGTGTTGTTTCGCGTATATATGAGGTAAAGGGTTAAAGAGTGCAAGGTGTTGGTCTAATTGATAAAAAAAAGTAATTCTACAAAATGATGTAAAATTAAAGAGGCTTCTTCACATTTCAAGGTGAATATCTAGTTAATTGATTTGCATATGGTATTTCATTAGAAACAAATCAAAGTAAATTGAAATAATGTTATAAATATATCCAAGAAAAAATTAAACTTATCCAAAAAAATTTAAACTTTCGTTGGAATTTTTCATATCAAAATGAATTATTGAAGCAGCATAAAGTATTCTAGTCTAGTCTAGCTGCACTTATATTGCAGGTTCATCTGGCTTTACTACACTGCATTAATTATTACAATGCTTGCATTAGTATTTGTTAATTTCCACCTACAGTTTTTAAGTAGAGTTGTCAACCATTTAAATCTACAAATTTCAATTTTCTGCCCATGTGAAACAAACTATAAATAAATGTCTGGAATTTTAAATTCGCTAACTTGTCAACATGCAGAAATAATCCCTAGTACAGTTATACTGGCAGTTTATTATGTGTATCCCCGTGCCATCTATTTATTTTACATTAATATTCTAGATAGGCATTTATGTTCGCTAGATGGTTGATGGACATAGTAGAGACATACTATCGTTCTCATTCGATTGAAAGGTAATCAATGATTCTAGAGACATACTATGTTCTAGATTATATCATTTTGACAATTTTGGCAGAACATTTGCTTTTAACATGTCTCAATTTGTTAAATGAACTTTTTCTTGTCTGTTTATTCAATATTTCAGTTTTAATTTCTATATAAATTTGAAATAAAATGCTTATTTTCATTTTTTTTTTTTGTATTTTCACTGCAGTGAAACATATTTTCAGTATTTTCACTGTGTCCTGCTCATTTCAGCCAACACACAAGATTTCAAAAAAATCTTTCCAATTGTGATGTCAAAAAAGAGAAATATAAACAGACAATTTTTTCTATATAATAAAATACAGGATTTATTTTAATTGAGTGGCATGGAAATAAATATTTCATGATTGGTGGTAGCCACTAATGAAATATGATTATTTTCATACCACAAGAATATTTATTTACACAATTACCACTTGATGAAAATAAATCCTATTTTATAGAAAAAAAAATGAATATCCTCTATTTATTTGTCTTTCAGCATTTGTGTATTAATCTAATGGACTTGTCCATTTTACTAAACATTTGTGGGTCTGTTTTATGTATTTGTCCAGATCGGTTTTCAGTATATTAATGTCTAGGATTTATCCAGCTTGTATTTCAGAATTTTTATCATTTAAAAATATTTTTTTTCTGTTTTGTACATGACTGTATGTGGATTTCATGATGTCTTGAGCCAATATTTACTACTACTGTTCGTCTTTTCTTTTTCTAAAGATTTACTTGTGTGTTAAATTATGTAATTGTATTGTCATGTATATTTCACTTATATGCAATTTTAGAATTTTTGAAAATAAAAATTTATATTTTTAATTCAGTGTCTCAACATTCATTATGCTACTCTCATGTCTAAGTTACCTGAGATTTCCCCCAAACAAATAAGCCAGAGAAAATACAAGGCATATATTTCCCATTTATTATCTTAAGATGGATTGAAAAGGAAAAAATACATCTGTGTAAAATACACCACTGATCAGTGTAAAATACATTGGTGTAACATACACCAGTGTAAAATACATCAGTGTAAAATACAAGACACTTGAATAAACACAAGATGTGTTACATGCTATCTGCAATAATGGAAACTTTTTTAAAAAGGCTTATTAACTAGTTACCTCACAGGTTATTCCTACATAGTTGATAAGGCTTAGGTTTTAGTAACTCAATCATGAGTTTCGTGTCTCCCTGAGAAAATCATTCTTTTTTTGTTGTTGTTGTTGGGTAAAACATTTTTGCACAAGCGTAGTATAGGTCATATGGCGATTTTCCAGCTTTACCTGTGGAGGAAAACCTTAGCTTGCTAGATAGCTTCCTCTCATAAAAGAATCCAAAGGCCACTTGGATTGAACCCAAAGTGGTGAAGGGCAAGTGGTCACAAAACCACTATGACCCACATAAATATCCTTTGGAAATTATCAGTAATATTCAATTTATAAAAGAGTGGGGCAGTCTTTTTTATATATATATTTTATCATTAAAAACTGGCATTAATAATTATTGTTCAACCACCAATGTAATAGTCAACCTTTGAAATTATAAAACAAATTTGTCAGCTTAACAGAGTAAAAAAGGAATAATGTCAAATTTCTTCCATTGTAACAAGCATGGAAGATTTCCAATACAATTGTTTTAAACTAGCCTTGGTGATGTCCTGGCTTGAGATAGGAGAGTAATGTGAACACTTTGTGTATGGTATTTAACTCACTACAGTGTTGGAGCAGTACCTCTAGATGCTTGCAGAAATCTTGATCACAAAGTAGATAAATATTGCTTTTTCTCTGATTTTTACTTTTTCATTATGATCATAATATAAATCATTGTGAAGAGATGAATTAGACTTCTTGAAGCGCATTTCTGCAAATGAAAAGGCGAAGCATTTAATCATTCAAGGGCCTTGTCCGGTAAATACCTGTATACTTATAAGTGTGGTGCTCCAAAACTTTTCTTAGTCTCACTCTACATGTACATAGAGCTTCTATATAACATAACATAACATAATCTTTATTTGGCATAAAATAGCATGAGCATACATATAGCCAATATACTTTCAATATCATATGAAAAGGGATAAACGTGTTACAAACATTGTACAATATTTAACAATTTACAGAAGAATGGTACAAAACAACAATTAATACTGAACAGAATAGAACAATAATTTAACCTCTTAAAAGTTATATACTTTCAGTTTATTTTATTCTAAATATTTTGTAATTCTCTTTTTTGAAATGCAAAGTATAAATATTTTGATAGATTGATAATTTCTTTAGGATTTCTACTTGTCATCAGTAATTCGAATTTTTTAATAGTAGGCCACCTACAAAAATATGGTTTTAGATACTGTTTCCTTAAGTTATAATAATTTGGGCAAATAAGGAGGAAATGAAACTCATTTTCAATTACATTCATAAGTACATTTTTGGCATTTTCTTTCTTCCCTAGGCGTTCCTTGATGTCTACCTGTTTCAATGGCAAGATTATGTGCTGACAGTCTAAATTTTGTTAAAGCTATTCTGAATTTATTCGTATTTATAACACTTAGATATAAGTCTTGATTAAATTCATGTTTGAAAATACAATAGGAAGATAATCTACTTGAATTATTTACTTTTCTATACCAGTCTTGTTTATATATGTCCAAAATTCTGTTTTTTATAGAAATGAAATTATTTTGATTAGCAGTATGACTTAACCATAAATTAAACATCCCTATCTCCTGAAGAATAGATTTGATATGGTAGGCCCAATTTTTCCCTCTATATGAATTTTCGTTGTCAGCGTCAATTTTAAGTATGTTGTACATTTGTTTAAGTAAACAATTTTCTTCGAGATTTATAATTTTTAGCCAATATTTAATAAGTATAATTTTTCTTTGAATTCTCATTGGATGTCGGCCAAGCTCTCCGTATAAACACTCTAAATTTGTTGACTTCCTAACATTAAGTACTTTTCGTAAAAATTTACAATGAACTAATTCAATATCCTTTGCTTCGTCATATCCAAATACTTCTGCCCCATAATTAAGAATAGAACTAACAAGACTGTCGAATAGCTTGCATTTATCCACGACTTTTAATTCTAACTGATTGAATACAATAAATAGATTATGAAGAGCGTAAAGGGAATGTTGCGCAAGAGTTTTTTGGGTGCGATTCCAATGACAGTTCTTGAATAGAGTCACTCCTAAATATTTGAATTGTGTTACAATTTCTAATGACTCGTTTTTTAGTCTGAAATCGTAAGAAGAATGTCTTCCTTGTTCAAAAAATCATTATTTTTGTCTTTTTTGTATTGATTTTCATACCCCAATTGAAACAATAAAGTTGTAAATCATTGAGCATTGACTGTAAGGCTTCCGGTGTGTGCGCAAAAAATACTGCGTCATCTGCAAACAAAATAACAAAAAGTTTTATCTCATCGATGGTAAACAATCCTTCAATATTATTATTTATATTATTAACTAAATCATTTACGAAATAGAGAAAAAGTAAGCTAGAGCTGGGATCCCCTTGTTTTGCGCCTATGTTAGATTTGTTAAAAGTTGGATACAGACTTTTTGTATTTAATTGCCGCTTTCACAGACATGTACATACTTTAAATCGCCTTAACAAATCTAGAGCTGACATTTTCTTGGAAAAGTTTAATGAATATATACGACCTTCTAGCTTATCAAAACATTTTTCAAAATCGACAAATGCTGAGTAGAGTTTCTTCCCCTGAGAGAGTGTTTCGCAATAACAGAATTCAAAAGAAATATACAATCGGCTGTAGATTTACCTTTTTGGAAGCCGTATTGATTATCAATTATTTTTGGTGCTTTTTGGACCATTCGGTTAAGCGATTCAGAAGAACTTGTGAGTATATTTTTGAGATAATATTTATCAATGTAATACCCCTGTAATTTTTTGCATCCTCCTTATCTCCGCTCTTAAAGATTGGTACTATTATGCCTTCCCCCCACGAGATTGGATATTCTCCACTGACATATATTTTATTGAAAAGTAAATGAAGTGTTTTTGATATTTCATCAAATGAACATTTAAACATTTCTGCCAAAAGAGTATCTATCCCGCTACTTTTATTATCATTTTGCGAAAAAACAGCTTTTCTGATTTCTTGCATTTCAATTTCTTTATCAAGATCTTCGTCATATATGTTATAGTTTATATCTGCAGAACGGCTGTTTGTTTCAGTACTGTATAAATTTTTTAAAATGATCATAAAGCTCATTCATGTTTAAAGAATCTGCTTCTGACTGTTTCTTTGCGTATTGCTTTTTTAACTTTGTTCCAAAATTTCTTTGGTTGATATTTCCCTAGTTTATTTAAGTTGTCTTTTTGTTGGAAATTGTATTTTCGCTTATTTATCTTCTTAACTTTTGTATAATTTGCTCTTTCAAAAATAAATTCCCTTTTAAATTGTTCATTTGATCTATTTTTTTACAAATTTATTTCTCTTCTCTTTAAATTTTTGTCTAGCGTTATAGCACTCTTGATTAAACCAGGGCTGTTTAAGTTTATTTTTACAAGAATTATTGTGTTTACGCTTAACGCTAAAGACATTAGATGCACATTCGTGTAAAATTTCAGTAAACTTATCTGCAATAATATTAACATTTTCGTTGCTACAAATCTGTTCATTTACATCATTTAATATGTTCCTTTTTTGATCGAAGAAGGTTTAAAAAAATGATTCCCTTTTTGTTTTCATCCCATTTAATAATGGTTTCACATTGTTCAGTTTGATTAGAGTTATCGTTTACTTTATTACAAGGAATATTAAAACTTAATCCGTTATGGTCGGAAAATTCGTTTGGTTCGGCGACTGAAAAGTCAGAAATGCAATTCAAATCATTCATGTGTATAAGTAGATAATCTACGACGCTTGATCCGTTAATTGAACAAAATGTACTTTCCCCAATATTGGCGTCCCTATGGAGCCTCCCATTACATATGATATACGATGTTGTTTGACAAAATTCAATTAAACGTCTACCTAGGCTGTCAATCAATTTATCTTTAGATACACGCGGTGTATGACCACTTATATGTAATAAAAAGCAAATTCATTATCATAATCTAATGCATTTATTGATACAAAAAAACAACGTGAAATAAAAAGAAATATATATAGAAATACACACTGTACAAAGATTTGTAAGAAAATTCACATGTTATCCTGACACTTACATTACTGGGGACTCTAGATGAGGGGTGTGAAGTAAACAACAAAATGTGAAAAGGAAATTGAAAGAATTCTGGGAGTAAAAGTTGACACTGTTGGAGTAATGTCCCTTTGCAGTAGTCCTTGAACCATTGCAGCACTCCAAATATCTTAAAACAAATTTACAAAATATCAAACTAAAGTAAATTTTCAAGCATATAGTTTAAGAAACATTGGAATATTCTACTTGCAAGTATCATGCAAAATATACATTTTTTATCACCTTATTTCCAAACTGCCATCAACTAAGTGGGTATGACATGACATTGTGTTTCTGCACATGTTGACATAAGTAATTTATGCATATACCTAGGAAGTGTTTAATGCTAGCTTATATCCTTTAATGACAACATTTTAACAAATCGAAAGTATTTTAAAATTTTCATAAAAATTCACAATGAATCTAGAAACATGTGTTAAAAACCATTAAACTATTTGACGTTATAGACTGGGCAGTATTTCTACTAAGGGTGAAAAAACTTTTCATTGAAAACTTGAGCAATGAAATATAATACACTGCTTATACAAAAATATCAGACTTTTATAAATGATTGAAACAAATCTGCAAGCTTAGTTCAAGGACTACTGTGAAGGTGTTTAATTTATTAAGTTTTATAAGCTATTGTAAGTTTTGTGAATATTAAAAACATTTTTTCTTTAATTTGACGATTTAAGTTAAGCCTACTATTAGAAGTAATAGAGGTACATTTTGTTGAAACACCTATTGAAGATTGCACACAAAAAAATGTGCCAAGAACTTTCTTTTCCTTTTACACAGTAAACAATCATTATTATAGTTGGAAAGTTCTCTTGTTACTTAATATTGGGGGTTTTTGTTGGGGTTTTTTTTTCATCATAATCTTAACTAACTAACTAAGTTACTATAGAAAATATTTTGATGCAATTGTTGATAGTTTAGCTTAGTAATTAGAGTGATCCATTAAATTTTCTCACGAGAAAAAAATCTAAAAGACAAACATTTATAAATCTAACTTACTACATGTACACTGAATATCTTAAAATTACATAAAAATGTACTTATCCATCATTCAATTAGCTCATCACCTTTTCTTACTTTCATTTTTAGATAAAACTTTCAAAAGTAAGTATTGACTGAATAGTAAACAGTGTAGACCATGATCAGACAGCATTTATGTACCAGATGATCTTGGTCTGCACTAGTTACAGGGAAAAAAAATTAGCCGTGTCATGACAAAACCAACATAGTGCGTTTGCGACCAGCATGGATCAAGACCAGCCTGCGCCCCGCACAGTCTGATCAGGATCCATGCTGTTCGCTAACCAACTCTATTACAAGTAGAAAAACTGATAACGAACAGCATGGATCCTGATCAGACTGCGCGGAGGCGCTGGTCGCAAACCCACTATGTTGGTTTTGTCATGACACTGCTCATATCTGTATCAGCCAAAAGGTTACATGTAAAGGTTAAACTACCAACCTACTTCACTAATTATATAAGTGGCACTTTAAACAAAGGTTAGAAAATACAGCAGTGTTGATAAATTTCTGCTGTAAAATGGTTATTAATCAACCTATCATTGTTGTAACAGAGACACAGCAAAAAACTGTGAGGGCTAAGGCACATATAGTAATAATATTGTCTTGATTAAATCGTAACACTGCTAAATTTATATGGATTTGCCCAATTTAAATTCGGAATCTGAGGAAATCTTTGTAAATTTAAAATATAAATTTGAATAATAGCACCTGAGTTAATCTTGAGAAAAAATCTCTTTAATAATTCTCGGACATTGGAAAAAAAATCTTTAAGCCTTAACATTGATATTTGAGAGATAATATTCATTAAAAATTACAATAAAATAATTATCAAATATATAATTTCAAATGATTTGACTTGACCCTAAAATACAAAAAAGAAGTTAAGTGTTCTGGATAAGATTCAGTTAAAACAAAAATAACTCGGCAAAAAGTTTTTACTATATCATTAGCACATCTATTTATGTCCCTGCATTACAAGCTTATTGCCTAAAACATGGATTGACTATTGTATTAATTAATGTATGTAAAATCAACTCTGCAATATGTTAAACATATAAATATCTCAATCAAAATGTGTATATAAAAAGATTTTTTCTATCTTTATAATTCATTTTTGTTTTAAAAGAATTACCTATAGATCTAATGCTTTTTCTAAAAAACTGGAACTATAAACCATTCAAGTGTCTATACTCCAAAATGTCATGTGATTCAATCTATATTTTTTCAAGAAAACCAAAATGTAAATCTCTGAACATATTGAAAAATTCAAATATAGAATAGTTTATATCACAATGGTTTTATTTTTGAAATGCTTTATTCTATCAAGACATCGCAGTACCGCTCGATTTGACTGTGGATTTTTCACGTAAACTCTGTGACTCTCTTTTGAGGACATTCAACAAAGTCTGTGAACTTTCTAAAATCTGAAACAGATACAAAAAAATGTCATATAAGTTATAATTATAGACAAAAAATGAGTATGAAAAAGATGAGAAAAATGTGCAGACTGACCAGGGCTCGATCATTCTACTGTTCCACTGCTCTACCAACTAGCCTGTTTAGCCTACTTGTCTTCTTTAACAGTTTTTCTTTACACAATAACAAATCTTTATTGTACCAAAATACAAATACTGCCAGGAGTTCCATAACCAAAAAACTTTGTAGCTCATTGCTTTAAACTGATTGGTTCAAGGAAAGATTTTGAGAGTGTGTCAATAAGCTAATAGCTTCTTACAGAATTATTTCATTATACATAACTTCCAACAAAATCTAACTAAAATTAATAAGTACTGAAAAAAGTATCAGCATTTCTAATTTGAAAAATACCAAAAGCTTACATAAAGAATTCTGTACTTGTACCAAAATCTTTCTATGTAGTATGAAGCAAAATTATGCATGTGACATCATATTTTGTGATCTGATTTTTCTTTTATTGTAAACTAAATAGAAAAGTTGCTTTTGTCTTCACATATTTAATAATATTTAATATCAGAAATAAATCTGGTCACCTCTGTCATTTGAGGTACATAATCAGATTCTTACCTTCATATAGGCCCCTTCAGTTTCAGCTATAGTTTTGTCAAACTCATTTCTTGATGCCATCTTTTTACTTAAACTCTCATTTACTTTGGCAAGTCTCTCAGTTAATATTCTAATGTCATTTTGAAGCTTTTGTTTCTCCTCTTCCTCTTGCATGATCTGTTTATGGAGCTCATCTCTTTTACCACACAGGTCATTTATACCTGAAACAATGAATTTTATATTTCATCACTGATTCATTTTGTACTATAATCAAATTCAAGAACACTCTAATAGCAAAATTATTCAAAAATTGACATTTTCCGTAGTTGCTCAAAAGGAATTTATGTTTTTAATATTATATTCATATAATATATGGCAAAAAAGAGAAATTCTTTCAATTGATATATTTCTAATTTACATTAATTAGTGTTTCAGGACAGAAAATGAGTAAGTGACTTGACAACACAATTACTTGAGCTATGAAACATATTCTGAGAGTCCTGGGTTCATATCCTTATAACATAATTCTCATGTCTCCCAGGATAAAAAAAATCTCCATGAATAACTGGGCATATATATAATATCATATATTATTATGACATACATTTACTATTATGACTTATTTCTTGCTTTCCAGTGTTTTATTGTAGTATATCAAATGGTTATATTATGATAAACCACTAGTGAAATTTATAAAATATAATTTTCACTGTAGCCGGACTATATCTGAATGCGGATGAAAAGAAAATCATAACTAAATGGAATGACAGGCATAAATAAATGCCGTCATGCGTAAATTTTGCTCCTTTAGGAAAAGAAAGTTGATGTCATCATACATCATGTTAAAAATGTAACAAAATTAGAGAAATTTAACAGACCTATATTTCAAAATTGATGATGTGAGGTCATGATGTGATGACGTCACAAAGGAGAATACGTGACGTTACACGGCAAAATCAGTAAAAAGATACTTAAAATCACTTAAAAAGCATGAAATAAAAAGAAATAAAAATTAGTCCACAGATGAATGTACATATCTGTACAGCATTTACCCCAGATTTTGGAATGGTGCCGTTACTGAACAAATTGGGAAAATACATTGTTTTGACTCAATTTGGCAATTTTACATAGAGGATATTTGTTTTGTTTTTTTTAAAATATAAGATTGAAATATATTTCATTCGTGAACACCAGCTATTATATTTTCACTGGTGGCTACGCCACTCGTTAAAATATTGCATCTGGTGTTCACTCAGTGAAATTATATTTCAATCTTACATGCAAAACAAACAAATATCCTCAATGTAAAATTGCCAAATTGAGTCAAAACAATGTATTTCCCAAATTTGTTCAGTAGCGCAAAATCTGGGGTAAATGCTGTACAGATACGTACATTCATCTGTTGACTAATTTTTATTGTGTTTTACACTGAACAAACAATTAATTATTACATTTTTGTAATTGTCATTACATACAAAACATTAATGCAATAAAAAATTGTAACTTAAGTTGATAGAGAAATATAGGATTTTTTTGTTGTTGTTTTTATATTTATATTATTTTAGTTTTAAGGGTTCAGAACTGTTCACTATGTAGGGGAGAGATGTGTAAGCAGCCGGAACACTCAGTCAATGGAACGGTATTTCGAAGGCCCCAGGTTCAAGTCCTGTTGAGGCTGCACATTTTTCTCACCCTCTGACATTTGGCGCCCAAAATGGGGCTGTGACTAGATATAGCTCTGAGTTTAATTTACATTGCTCTGTAACTCTGTGAAATTCAGGGACGAATTTCAATAAAGCAAGGGAGTATGTTACTGAGCAAAAAAAAACTTCTTTGAAGAGGGCAAAATATAGGCTCCTTCCCCAACCAAACAGCCTCTTTTTTCCCCAGTTTGGTCCTCAAAATTCCCCAGTCTTTTGAAATTTCCAATAGAATTTAGAACAAAATTAAATGATGGTGTTGAATGAAGGTCTTTTACTGCCGTATTATTATTTCCCAGTGCTTTTTGCCGTTCTATTTTGAAGAACTTGTTAAAAAGTTTGTGTTAAATTTGAGACCCCTTTTCCCAAAGTATGCCAAAATCACGCATATTTTCCCCAAGGAAAAGGCTGAGACCCCTTCCCCAAAAATGGTGTTTTGGCCCTGTGTTATGGTTCAGAACTACTATATAAGGTAGAAGATGTGTAAGCGGCCAAATAGCTCGGTCAGTAGAGCCGTGGAACGTATTCAGAAGGTCCTGGGTTCGAGTCCCTGTCAGGCTGCACAATTTTCTCACCCTGTAACATTAGTAAAATTATCAAATGAAGAAAAGTAACATTTCTAAAATCATTTCAAATGTCCATACAGATTTCTATTTTTGAGAGTTAAACCCATAGTGGGATATCTATCTATCTATCTCTGGATACTGCCAACCCCTCTTACAAGTGTTACAGGCAGGTATACATTGTATACATTTAAGAAACAGCTTTAAGATACAAGGGAATCCGGGAACCAGTCCCTAGCTCTTATTGAATAGACCCCTTGGTTCTTTTACATGCCCAGTGTATAGATTTATAATTTCTTTTAAACCGTGACTAATGCTTTTCTGAAAAAATATTCAATAATTTCATTCTTTCACTGAACAAAAATATTAAATGGATTTAAATAGATTATCCACTAATCTAACAGAAATTTAAAATGGTTGTCAGCCAAGTGCTTGTTAAAATTTAATTTTATAACAGATATCAAACTTACACTTTACAAGCTCATTGTTATAACTCTGCAAGGCTGCACCTTGTTGTGACATTTTTCAGTGTATAACAAAACAAATGCTTGATTATTACAGAACGATTTTAATTCAAACTTGTCTCGACAGAATTAAATTTTTTGTTTATAAGTTACGGAAGTGTGTATACGTCATCATACGTTGTGTAACTCAAGTGGAGTAACTCTTCAAGAGTAATCGAGGTTGAACGACACTAAATATTTCCCTTCTCTTTGTTAACCCATTACTTCATGAGCATTTTGTGAAAAAATGGCTGTTTTCATTGAAAAGTCTCCCGTTACAAGTTCAAATTGCTATAATACTATAAAAACTGCTTCAACACTAAGCGAACTTGGCACAAATGTTGACTGGACCATTGCCCTTGCAACAACATGCTCAGGCTTAAATTTTCTGTTACCATGGCAACGAGGGGACATCTCAAAATTGCCAAAAATCACTATTTTGAGTTGATTTTTTCCATCATAATTGATTTCAAAGTGCTGCAACTTCACAATGGATTGAGATAGAGTCAAATGCTTTTCAGCGTTGGTAACACGTTACCTTATGATCAATCTGGGGTCATTTATAGCCTCTCACAAGTCCAAAATTTTCTTGGCGATGAGGGGGACTCCGCCCCCCTTCAAACCCCCCAAATAGAAGGGGGCACATCCCCCTTCTGGCAACCCCCTGATGTATCTTTTGGTTGGGGGGCCGCGCCGAAAAAGTGGTCACTTTTTTTAACAACATTTCTCAAACAAAAACAAGTGTTAAGGGCCTAAATAATGCATTTTTTCACCATTTGAGACCACAAAAAGGGGGGGGGGTGAAAAAGGCGTTAAAAGGCGTGTATATGAAGTAATGGGTTAAACACATCATTTAGAATATTGTCAGAGCTACCTATGAAATGGTTCTTAATCTAACCCTGGAGATTTTATATTTTAAGGCTACTTAAATATATACTTTTTACTGTTGAATTACAAATTTAATTTTAAGTGGCTATTCGATGAAATTCCAGATTAAAGATATATTGATTGCTACAATACATGTCAATTTGACTCGAATTGTTTGAATATTTAGTAAAAATTTGAAAACAGTTATAATTTAAATATGAAAAAGGCAAAGCCTCAAAGCGAGCTCGATGTACTTTTAACGAAATAGTATGAAATAATCGCTCATTTTTATTTTACATTTTCCGTTTTAAAATTGTCATTCGGTATAATTTTATACACTGCTTCCGTTTATTCTGGTAATGAATAAAATTAATGTATTTTATCATTTATGCAACGTGAATAATAACTAATTTTGAAAACGTTGATTAAACTTTGTTTGTTTATTTTATTTCACTCTATAATTTTTCAAGCGAAATAAAGATTATTAAATTGAGGATATTTGTTTGTTTTGCATGTGAGATTGAAATAAAGGTAATTTCACTGAGTGAACACCAGATGCAATATTTTCACAAGTGGCGTAGCCACGAGTGAAAATATAATAGCTGGTGTTCACGAATGAAATATATTTCAATCTTATATGCAAAACATTTTTTAATAAGAACGGCCAGTGCATACTTGCTCCGGGTCTTCTTTGTTTATATAGAAAAATTTCCGATTGTGTTAGAATATTTTGTTTGTTGAAAAAAGAGGAGGTAAATGTACATTAAATGAAATCAGGCAAAACCTATGTACGGGAAAAGTCGGTTAAAATAATCGTTCAATTTTCATTTTACATTTTCCGTTTTAAAACTGACATTCGATATTTTATACACAACTTCCGTTATTCTGGTTCCCTGTTCAATTATGATTCCCATAGAAGTGCGCGGGTGACCAGTCTACACATCCGTTTTATGTCAGAATTCCTCAGTTTTTATCGTTATCTTTGAATTCGAAAAGTTGCGATGTGTCATAACAGTACTTTTAAAATTAGAAATACACATGTACTGTAAACACTATTCATTGCAGGCAAAACAATCACTTAATTTGAACTTTGCGCAATTTTGCAAACTCTAGCTTAAAGACATGTCACCTCAGTAAAAAAACCCTCATGATTGGTCATTTAAATTCACATTTGAAAAGTTTTGAAACAAAGGTACATGTTCCTTTCAATTTCAGTGTTATTTATTATCCTACCTATAAGCTGTTGTTGAATCCTTAGACCTATATCTGTAATACTTCTTATATGTACGTGCATATTTGTGGATTCCTTTATTTTGTCCTTAACATGTAAAAATTATATGCTTATTTTTTATCAAAAACAAACATCTTTATTTAGCTTTAGGTTTGTAACATACAAGCCCATTGATTATAAAAATAGGTCAATTTAAAAAAAATAGATTAGATTTCAAATACAGCTTCGCCTGAAAAAGTCCACGTCGGTGTTTTTTAAAACAATACTGAATAGATCGAATACATTTCTAGGTGATTTTCATTTCCTGTAAATATTGAAAGATAGATATTCATAAGTACTAAATTTGAATGTACTACCCAAAATTTGATAGGGCCGTGTTCGCTTTAAATTTATTTCTTAAATATCTTTTTAATTGTAAACACAAGATACATGTAAGTGATTTTTTCATACATGTAGAATACTCCAATGTTATGTGTATACCTCACCTGTTCAGTAGACGGTAAAACCTGTATTGGTTTGATAATAAAGGGAAAGGTGATACTCATATTTAAAACGTTCATATCCCTTCAAGTATACATCCGTTATTTTCAAACTTTACGTGTGCTTGGTAACGTTTATTTTAAAGCTAGCATTGGGTATTGCTAACTTACTTATAAGACGGCGCCATGACGCCGAAGAGATCAATAGGGGGATAGTGATGTTTAAAGCCCGGCGTTCCCAACGGCATGTGGCAGGAGCACTGTTGCAAAGATGTGGGAACAGTTTCGAACTCACGAACATGTCAGGCATAGGCATGGTGGTGGTCGTAAGAGGGTTACAACTCAGCTTGAAGACTGTTTCATTGTTGTCCAAGCGCGACGTCAGCGCTTGGTTACGGCTAGCCCTACAAAATGACTGACAGAATGCCACTTGCGTAAGAATTTCTACGCAAACAATCAGAAACCGTTTTCATAGAGTGGGCATGGGGACCAGGCGACCTGCAACCCGCATTCCATTGACGCTAAATCACACACAGGCACGTCTCCAGGCACTATAACTAACAAATCCAGATTTTGTTAAGTAATTAGCCTGCCCGTGCTTGCCATGCGCCCGGTCCTGTTTTTGTTTGGGGTCCTCATTGGCTTATTGTTGCTGGGTCGCGTGGGGTTGCCTTCATTGAACGCCGCCTTTCCTTGTTGATCCTGTTTATCATAGTTAATTGATAGACGAGTCTGGGTATGGAGATCGTCCAATGAGCGTTTCGCACCGTATGCGTTGCTAACCATGACCGTTTTGGCGGGGCTCAAATATGGTGTGAGCGGATATTAGCATGCAGAGAAAACGGCCTAGTATATCGTTCAAAACTATATATTCATGACTGCACGATACATCAATGAGATCTTAGATGTGTATGTACAATGTACGTTGGTTGCTATAGGCCATGACTTTATTTTGATGGACGACAATGCCCGTCTACATAGGTACCAACGAGTACCTGCGGACAGCAACTATTTAGAGAGAATGGACGAGCCAGCAAAGTAACCAAACCTAAATCCAATTGAGCATGCCTGGGAAATGCTGCAGACTTCAATATCTGCCCAGTCAGTCCTGCCAATCACGGCTCCAGATCTACAGCTGGCATTACAGAATGAGTGTGTACGAATCCCATAAAACATACTAAATAAATCAACAACTGGAATAGATACCAATCTTGATGCAGGTTATTTAAGTGCAATCAGTTCCATAATTGGAAAGAATGTGCAAGCTCTGGCAGTTCATGGTCCTAGAATTCCTAAAGAGGATCCGTCAGTAAATGAAACAGACGTTCTGCTATCTACAAAAGATAATTAATGGACGGATGTAACTGCCTCGCATGATGTTAAACTAAAAGCATCAATTAAGTTGGTATATATACTCGTACATGATTATATAAAAGTTAAATATACTTTTTGTACATAAATAATTAAATCTTTGAGCTTACTAAGTGAGCATAAATGGAAATGAAGATTTTATTTTATTCAAGGCATTCATTTATACCAAGAAACTTTCAATACATTTTCAACGTTTTCATTGATAATTTTCTTATGTAAATGCTAATACCAAGGTAAAGGAATAAAATTGTAAAATATATACTTCCTACATTCCTACATACGTAAATTTGATTATTTCTGTTCAAAGTTTAAAATGACATTAAACACATTCGTACTATTATTACTACTCTGATTTCACTATCTAAAGTATTTAAGTTTTTAAGATAATATGCAAAAATACAATTTTTAACCTAGCAGTTATAAACCACCAAAAAAAAAATATCCAAAATATTTTTAGTTCACTCTAAACTGAACAATTTATTTTAAAATGGTAGGGTATCAAAATGCAATGTACTCATTGTTAAAAAAATAGATAAATCTAATTTATTTACAAGTACATGTACCAGCAACACAATTTGTTATGATATCAGGTATGTTATGTCATATTCATCTGATATAATATACTTGATTACATGTAAAAAAAATGTTCAAAACAACATGTTGGACAAACTATTCAACAATGTTCCAAATGTATTAATACTGTAGTCATAGATTTGATATAAAACGTTATCTTGAAACAATTACAAACGTTTCTGAACAGTTTAATACCCAAGAACATACTATCCAGGATTTCTCTGTTTTGACTATTGAAAGTAACACGTCCTTTGAAGAGACTTTTAAAAGAGACTTCCTGGATATATCACTTGGTAACTTTATCACAAAATGAAGTGAATTCCAAAGGTCTGTTAATATCTGTCAATGAATAACATGTATTTTGTATAAACATGTATCTTAGTTAGTTTTACTTTTTAACTTAATATTTGCACTTTACCTCCTTTTTTCACTAGTACATTGTACTATCGTCTGAATAGCCGATGGTCAGTTATCACCAGTAAACCATTGCTTAGGACAAATTAAGTTTTATTCTAACTACAAAAGCATATTTACATCTCAAAGCATTCTATCAAATTGGCATCAAAGAGACTATTAAGTATGCACTAAGTTAAACCCACGTGACTGGTGAGACTGAGAGAGCATCCAAAA